TGATTTGTGTTTCTTTGTTATGTTTTGTTGATTTTTGTTCTATTGCTAAATTTTTGTTGTTTGTTTTTTGGTATGTAGTTCTTTTTTTCATGTCCAGTATAAAGTCCAATATAAGGCTATGGAAACCATGGCCACAAGAAAACAAAGGAACGTATCGAATGGTGTTTTTAGAAAATGTGTCAATAATAAAGGTATTTCATTGGGCTATAGAACTTGTTAGTGGGAGTCACAGCTTGGGACTGTTTTAATCCGATTATTCCGCCTAAAGACATATTCATTGCCAATCACCAGAACTTATTGATAATAAATATTTGTCATCATTTTGAGCCCATGAGAACCCTATTTCAGTTCTCTTTGAATTACTTCCCAGATGGAATTGCTTGGCTGATGCTGTTGTTGTTGCATCCCTACTGTTTTTACACAATGGGCTGAGGTGTCTGATATTTGTGGTTCGTGCTGACATTGTTTGAAGATCCAGATCCTTCAATGACTTCGCCCATCAGACCACATCTATGGAACATTTTTCCTTTAATACGACATCTCATATAACTCTGTATCCTCTTTAGAAGAACAACATGTTGATGAATATGATGAATATGCCGCTTTCTTTTCATAATAACAATAATTATGATGGTCAAATCAGGATACAAAGGACCACCGGTGGTAGCTAATATAAGATTTTTTTTAAAGATTAGTAGTTTTAAACATTTTCAAAAGGAAATCGGGAATATGTAGTAATTATGATACAAAGACTATCTGTAATCGAAATTTCGATTTTTCAAAAGGAAATATAAGTCGATCTGCCTAGATCTGTTAGGTGCGAATCAAATATCAATCCTACGGTCAATGAAACACATATTGCGATATTTGCTTGATTATGAAAAAATAAGGAATCAAATAAAGAGATGATCAAAGTTATACTATTAATTTGAGGAACACATAGTAAGGGGTCGTGTATATTATTTATTGTTTTTCCATATGGGATATTTTTTGTATCACAATAAAATACAACGTTGATGCGGACATGTTGTCGTCTATCTGTCCGTCTGCTGAAATCAAATTGAGTTAAAAACTTCTAGGTAGAAAATGTACAGTTTTTTTTATATAAACAGGTCGGATGGGTCCACTATATTAACATTTTAGTCTGAAGAGCAAACCGATCGATCCACTCTGATATCTTCCCAACAAGGGACCGAAATTTAACCAAAAAATACTATATGGCTATCCAAACATTGCCCATAGCAATAGTAAAGCTATATGAACTCTCTAGATGAGACACTTTTTCTTCATACGTCCAAATTTTCGAAAAATGTTATGCCTCGATCCGAATCGCTTAATATTTGATAATATGCTTTAATCCAAAATTTGTATTTGTTGTAGAATTTCTGCCAAAGCTTGATCAATATATAAGACGATCACTACTAGACCTAAATTGTGTCAGTTGTACCTTAGCAGTATCCGGACTTTTATAATTGTCAATTCCATTGTATATATGTCAAATAAATCCTCATAATGTAGGTTAATCCTGTAAAAAGTTCTAATGTAAATACCGTTTTAAGACAAAAATTATGGTTACATTCGTTGTTTGATCTACTACCCTACACTAATAACTATGTTGTAAGAGTATTATAGGTTTATATTGGTGTATGTTATCGGATGTGGGGTTATACTTAAATATTTATAGAGGTCCACGTATTCTGACATTGTTTAGTACTACTATTGTCACACTAAACGGTGGAAATGAAGCGCGAATGGCTGGAACATTATGCATCAGTTTTCCGGAATGAAAGGAACAGAAAATTTTATTTTTATTTAGTTGCTAGATGCCACAAGTACAATTTAATGGTGGTATTTTAATGAGTTATGGAACGTTAGATTTCAATTTAGCCTCTTGTGCTGTAGACTTTTTTATATTTACTTTTATTCTCAGAAGATCTAGATCTTCGAGGAACTAGTCCTCGAAGACATGGTAAAATAAAGGTCATAGCATATGAAGATGATTTTGTCCTGTTGATCGCCGGGAAATAGCTGTCCACCGTATCCTACATAATACAAGGATCCTTAGTCACTCTGGCGAACAGGGCTGAAGCAAAGAGATTTGTTGTGAACCATACAAGGAGAAAAACAGTACTCTTCAAAAGGAAATTTAAAATATCGTATTTTTGCCTGGCCTCTTTGGCTAGAGTGACCTTAAACCACCCTCTAGAAACTAAATACCTCTGAACAATCCTTAAGCACTTAAGTGAAAGAATTCCATAGGAAAGAATCGGGGTTAAAACTATAAATAGTGCGCTATTAGTGGTCCTCCCCATACTAACTTATGGGTGTCTTGTGTGGTGACAGGGGACAGATAAATGAAATAAGCAGTGTATAAAGATCAGCATTGATCCTGATAACATTGCCTTTTTGATTGATATGAGTTTGATACTTATGGTTATAGTGGGGAAAATCCATTCGTAAGAATATGACATAAGCGATAGTCGCGAATCAGATTTGTATCGACATAATTTTAGTGTGTTGAATTCGCCTCCTCTAAAAGATGACTTATTGTGTTAGTTTTAGGCCAGGTATAAAGTGGCCAGACTGACTCCGCTTTCGTAGCTTCTTTGTATCTTGGTCACTTGAGAACCTTGTTCGTACTTATAATCGTATTGGAAATAGTAGTGGTATACTTGGTGCTATATATTTATAAGCAGATATCATATTTCTCAGAGGAAAGAAATATAAACGGTTAGATATGTAGTTTTTTTGGTTTCGAAAATATGGATTTAAAAAAATTGTCTAACATGTTGTTACTTTTTGTGCCTATAATCCTAGCTCATACCAGAACCAGACATGTGTTATTTCGAATTCCGTTGGAATTTTTGGGTTTGAATTTCCAGTGATCGGAAATTATGCATGCCATCGAATATGACTTTTCTTAATCAAATTCATCGTATCGTTCTTTTAGTTTTACTAATGTTATTGTTGTTGTATCATCTCTATTGTTTTTCGATAATGGGCGGAGGTGATAGTCGTTGGTCGAGACTACGGCAGTTTCGAATTTTAGACTTCTCTAACTAGGGAGCATTTTGCTGATTTTGAATATTTCAAAAAATATTTAGTAATGTTAAAAAAAGTTAACGAAAAGAGCAGGTCAAAGATCGTTGAGTCTTTTCTTCATATGGCTATCATCTATTCAAGCCCCATTGAAATCCTCATTTGGATGGATTGTATTCCCTCTGTATTGTGGAATTGTTTTTTTTTTCTGCATCCGTGTGATCCATCAATTCATGATGTGCCTGTTCATTTAGAGGCTTTCATTTACACATTTGAGTACCTCACTGTAGATTGTGAATATTTTCCCTCGAAGGATCTTCTTCCCCACATGTATGAGGTCTAATGGTGTCACGTTGCACTCTTCATGACAATATTTGCACAGTTGTATATTTTATAATTGGTTAGCACTGAAGCGCAACATCCTAATGCCACATTAAATGTCACAGATTTTCCAATCTCTTTATAGGTTTTCCTTATCTGTACCCTATATGCTGCCGTTTCTGTCTCCCACATTTTCGCAGATAGCTGTAGCATGTCAAAATGATTTTTGTAGGATGTCGAAAGTTACAACTCGGATATTGTGGAATTGGACTAATTATAATTATAGGCCTAATTACGTATACATTTAGGGGAAGACATGGGCCTATCCTACCCGCTGCCTTCGCGTAGTTGGTCAATAACCATCATGGTGTTCTATGCTGCTTCTGAAATTCGTGTTGATGATAAGCATCTGTATGGCATTCTTTGATGATGGGGAGTAACAATTCCTTAAGAAACTTGAGGTTCTAGAATATTTTCTACTGGTTTTAACTCTTTTTTAATCGATGTAGCAGTAATTCTGCCTGCATCAGAAGGTATATCATATTAGGAATGTTTTATTATTCTAGCCACATTTTGCAATGTGTCTGTAATTCTCCAAGTTAAAAATGCATACTGCCATTTTATGGAATATCCCTTATATGAAGACCTAGAATTTGGAATATTTTTGCAAAATATATTTTGTTTAAATATATATGCAATATAACATAATTTATATTATATTTATGTTTTCTTTTTAAACGGACTGCATTTTGAAACGAGAAGACTTATTTCATTATTTATTTGCTTCATCGCTATCATCTATTCTTTAAAAGTAAGCAAGACCAACCCGTTTTGTGCATTCAATATACATAAAATAATTGGTGAGTTTTATAGCATACTTTGAGGCGCTAAATTAATATCAACTACACTGTAAGAAATGAGTGCTATAGTCTGGAACAAATTTGTCAAAATCCATTTATTGATTTGTTTTTTATTAAATAACAACCACCCTCTTGTTCCCCCTTCTCTATGTATGTACTATATTTTTGTTTTTATTTTAAATATTGTATTTCTAAACGTTGTGTCATTCACCTACCTTCTTTTGTTTTGTATCACATAATCTAAATATTTTTAGTTCTTTTCCATTTCTATTTCCTAACATCCATCCATCAAACCCAACAATCCATTGGCATGCAACATTCAACAACATTCGTCCATTACAACCGACACGCTATACGGCAATATATAAAAAATAAATATTTAAAAAATTATCAAAATTCGTCAAAATGTTTGGCCTGTTTTGTAAATACTCCAACATTATCCCGATACACAAACAACTATCCTACACACATCCTTATCTGCTGTCTAACGTGAAGCTAAATTCGTTATGTCATCCATTTTATGAAGCTTCTTGCTCTTCTTGTAATGTACTAAAACGTAAGCTTTTCCCCAGAAGTAAACAAATCCAGAATAAAGCCTGCACCACCACTACTGCTACTACTACTACTGTAACACCTCAAGATAATAATTACTGCACCGCTATCGTCATCAATTACAAGAACAAAAACAACAGCCAGAACACAATCGACACAAAATCCATTATAAAAACAATACCAACAACAACAACTAGTACTACTGACCACTGTGCCACTCTAAAAGTCATGTCACATCAAAAACGTTTCTTTCATGATGGAAATATTGTAAGTATTTCGAAGCTATGTTTTGTGGTTTTTCATTTTATTTTTGTTTTATAGATTTGGGGTCTGGGATGAGAGGAGAGACTGTAAAAATAGTTTTGTTTGTTGTTGTGTTTTTTGTTATTGTAAAACTCTCTTTCTTTTATTTGATTTATATTAATTTGACTTTTATTTTTTAATTTTTCTAGTTCAACTACTCAATGCAGGAACCATCGTTTGAATGTGTCACACCCACCTCACCCAATGGGTCGGGTATTTGTGATGTTCCGGTAAAGAAATATTATCGCAAGGCAGCTCACAGGTGAGTTATGTTTTTCTTTTATTAATTTATGTTATTTTTAGTAACATTTGTATCTTATAATAACTCGAAGTCCTAATTAACTTTAGTATAATAGGGGAAGGATTTTGAATTCCAATACAAAAAAACTATTGCGAAAAGCAGAATTTGTTTTTGCATGAGATATATCATATAGTTAAGGTGCCATACCACGGATCCATATTCCTAAATAGAACTAAAGCAATTATTTACTTATGGGCGGATCTGGGAATTCTTCAGATCCTTTTTTAAAAATTGTGAAACGCAATTTCATTTATTGGCGATATTTATGATTGAATTGAGACGACTGCACCATCCTGGACGTAATTGGACCAAAACTACTCTGGTCTGCCTGGACAGCTGACGTTCTTCAGCTGCTATGGATGGGGGTGAGCTCCGAGGACAGCATTTATTCTCAACAACAATCGGTTGTGGCTCTTATGTTGGCGCCTGATTTATCATAATTATTTAATACATTCGATCATGCCAAGGTTTTTCAAAACGTTCAATGGTGTTTCAAATGTGATCTGCATGTACCTGCTCCGAACCCTTCTAGTCCGTGCTGGGATAGAAATAAAACCTGTACTTTTGTTCTGCAGTGTTTGTGAGAACCGCATCCACCATAGATTGATCTCGGTGAGCACCTAACACCATATCTTGTTGTTTCACGTCCCGATCAGTGAAATAGTGGAGTTTATGAGTAGAAGAATTATGGTCATTGCGATCCAAAAACTAAAAGCCAACCGAGAACTGTAGCTTACAGCATTGCGATGCTAACAAGGTTGTGCGGAAGAATCGTACCAGATACGGAGGTGGGGAACTTGCATTCTTGTTACACCATTCTGTCCAGTACACCATCAGAAGACCTCCTCGTCTTCTATGAGTAGATCTTTTGGTCTTCTAGGAGAAGGTTTTCTAATATTCTACCAAAAAATCTTCTGATCTACTGGGCGAAGAACTTCTTTTGAAGGCAGATCTTCTAGTCTGTAGGAATAAATCGTCTGCACTTCTGGGAGAAAATCTTCTAGTAGAAAACATTTTTTGTCTTCTATATGCACAACTTCTTACTTACTTAACTTATATGAAAAAATTCTAGTCTTCTATTTGAAGATCTTCTATATGAACACCTACTGGGAATTTATATAAAGGTTTCCTGGTCGTTTATATGAAGACCTTCTGTATGAAGTCCTCCTGATCTTTTATACGGAAACTTTCTATATGAAGACCTTCTGTCATCGCTTTTTATCAGTATTAGGGAAACTTCAATACCCACCATTAGTTGTTAGCATTCGAGCAAATTGATAGTTCAAAATTGTGCATGGTGACACTGGGTTCACATAAATGACCTAACCTGGCGACCAGTCATTTCAATCGGTTCAGACCACCTTCCTATCATCGTCTCCGTCAACAGATATATATATATATATTTCCTCAGAATCATTAATACTGCTGCCGCTAGCTTCATACCTGCTGTTTGAATACCCAAAGTAAGATCGAACTGCAGTTCACCTGCGATCAGTCCGCTTTTAGAAGGTAAAATCCGCCTGGTACTAGGGGATTTCGATGCCCACCATTAGTTGCGGCATTCGGTCGGGTATCTAAGAATAACTACTGCTGCCGCAGAACCATGGGAAAGCGGATTGGCCTGGTTTCAGAGAGTTTACAAATCACCGCTTCAGAGAGCTGCTAATTCTCTCAGATCCTCGAGTAGCTGAGAGGAATTTCTGTAGAATCATTACTATTGCTGCCGCTCGCTTCATATCTGCTAGTCGAATACCCGAAGTCGGACCGAACTTTTCAGCAGATCACGACGGTGAAGGCCAATGAAGATACTAACCTTCGTCATACGACTCCTGAATGCCCGAAGATGGGAGAACTTATCCTTGAATCCAACAGGCTAGTACGCGAGAATAAAAGGAGAATGGTTGCTAGACCACCTTAATCAATGCAACATTGTCACCAGAAATAGTAAATTGTAGTCAACAGGGTTAATTCACTTTCAAATTCTGGAAGGAAGGATGATTGGTCCTTCCTAACAACGTAACTTCGACAGACGCGAAGAGATGCACGTGTTAATTTAACCGGAAGTTCATTGAGTTTCCCAAAAGTGACTGGGCGAAAGAGAGTGTGCTACGTCGCATAAGAACTCTCCGAGACGAGGAGGTACCACCACAATTTTAAATTATCCAAAGTGTTGAGTGCGGAAGAAATCTCAATGTCAAAAGCAATTGGATGAATCTGTTGTGTTCAACCTGTCGTTAGCCATCCACATTGTTCCTGAAGCCTGACAGGGTGGTCCCGCTACTGAAGGATGCGGTTAATCATACAGGCATATTTCCCCTCTGTTTCCAGTAGCAAAGACGCTTGAGTTACAACTCCTCCCTCTGATGAGAAGTAGGTTTCCAGTTCCTCAACATCAACATGGATTCCGGAATATGCACAGCACAATTACAACATTACACACCGTAAGTACACATGTAAGCAGAGGACTTAACCAGAACACGATATGCGATAAAACCGTTTTAGTGGCGGAAAGCCTTCGATACTGTCAATCACGCCATGCTGTTCACACGTGGAGGCAATGTCTTACCCATTCGTCTTCATAATCAGGATCTTGTCGATGCAGTACTTGTATGGGTGTTATCGGTGAAATCATTCATGCCATCACCATATAGATACAATTCCCCCATCCAGGCATGTAAGGAGAGACCTTCATGATCTAAAGAGAGAGAGGTCAACGGCATAAGAAAGATCCCCTAGATAAACAGACTTATCGAGCAGAAATTCACACGGAAGTAGTGACCCACGCAATGGACCAATACCATTGCCCGAATGTAGTTCTTGGAGTCCACCACCTAGACAAGCGAAAGTGGTTTTAGCGTAATTAAGAATGGTGCTGCCGCCTCAATTCGTATTGGGTCCGAATTGACCCAAAGACATGCCATGTGTGTAGACTTGAACCTCACGACTGCCCTGCTAAACCCACTCATTTGTCATCGGAATCACTTTAGGCGCAGCAGATCCACATTGCAACCTTCTCGAACCTTGAAACAGAAGAGTCAGATCCAGAATAATAAAAAAATTACAACTTATATAGTTGCTGCAATGAATCGAGTTCGATCGAATATTAGTATTAATGAGTTCCAGTCAAAGGGTAATATGGTTAAAAAATAATCTCCTTCTTAAAACTTCGAGTAGGTATGAATTAGTTATAAACGATTAATGAAGATTGAGTAATTAACCATTATGGATGAACTACGTAAAGAAAGAACTCAATATTTTTGTCAATACATATTTTAGATTTCATCATCTTTCCCATATATCGATTAAACTCAATAATATATACTACCCTCATCTGAATATGCCTAATTCTATAATGACCATTTAGAACTGCAACAAAATTTCACATATAGAAAAACAAAAATGCTGTTGTTTTGAAAATAATTGTTCATCAGCCGCAGCATCATATCTGGTTCATTGATCTATTCGACACCAACTGCTGGTTGGCTGTCGCGGTCATTGTCATCATTAAGAAATTTTTCCACGCCTAAGTTGGCCCTTGAAAAATATTCTTTAATAAATCCACGCCTAAGTTGGCCCTTGAAAAATATTCTTTAATAAATCCACGCCTAAGTTGGCCCTTGAAGGCAGACATCATTCTAGGCTCAATTCCTGCAAATCGAAAGATATATAGGGACTTTGGGGCACCATTAACATGAAATCGGACGAAACTATATATGGGAGCTATATCTAAATCTGGACCGATTTTCGCGAAACTGGGCAGACATCATTCTAGCCTCAATTCAGTACGTTATGCCAAATTTCATGCAAATCGAAAGATATATAAGGACTTTGGTACACCATTTACCTTAAATCGGAGGAAGATATATACGGGAGCTATATCTAAATCTGAACCGATTTTCACGAAACTTTGCACACATCATTCTAGACTTAATTCAGTACGCTATGCCAAATTTCGTGCAAATCGAAAGATATATAGGGACTTTGGTACGCCATTTACCAAAAATCGGCCGAAACTATATATGGGAGCTATATCTAAATCTGAACCGATTTTCACGAAACTTGGCACACATCTTTCGTGGCTCAATTTAGTACGCTATGCCAAATTTCGTGCAAATCGAAAGATTTTCAGGGTCTAAAGTCCTTAAATCGGGCGAAACTATATATGGGAGCTATATATAAATCTGAACCGATTTTCACGAAACTTGGCACACATCTTTCGTGGCTCAATTCAGTACGCTATGCCAAATTTCGTGCAAATCGAAAGATTTTCAGGGTCTAAAGTCCGTAAATCGGGCAAAAATATATATGGGAGCTATATCTAAATCTGAACCGATTTTTCCCAAATTCAATAGGGTTCGTCCTTGGGCCAAACAAATGAGCTGTGCCAAATTTCATCCAAATCGGATCATAAATGCGACCTGTACTTTGTTTACAATTTAACATGGACAGACGGACAGATGGACGGACGGACATGCATAAATCGATTCAGAAAGTGATTCTATGCATATTCTCAAAAGGAACCATGGGTCTATCTCGATTATTTTTGCCTGTTACAAACATATGCACAAAGACATAATACCCTGTACCACAGTGTGGTGAAGGGTATAAAAATCCACGCCTTAGTAGGCCCATGAAAAATGAATCTCTAAAAATGAATCGCCTTAATTGGCGCTTAAAAAATTAATCTTTAAAAAATCCACGCGTGAACGGACTATCCGATTAGGACTTAACTTAGCATAACTTAATTTTATAACCATGACTGTAAAATGCTGGAAGATGGGACTTATCGGTCCACTCCTTCTAGTACCTCCCGCACAAAGGGTCAAAAATGTGTCTTATATAAAGCGAACGGAATATCCAATTTCAACTTCGAATCAAATTCGAAGATGGGACCCATTGGGTCAAAATTTGTAATATTTACAAATCCAATATGAGGTAAATGGAATGTCCGATTTGAACAA